TTTGAGACGGAGTTTCACTCTTGTTACCCAGGCTGGAGTGCAATGGCACGATCTCGGCTCACCGCAACCTCCGCCTCCTGGGTTCAGGCAATTCTCCTGCCTCAGCCTCCTGAGTAGCTGGGATTACAGGCACGCGCCACCATGCCCAGCTAATTTTTTGTAGCTTTAGTAGAGACGGGGTTTCACCGTGTTGACCAGGATGGTCTCGATCTCTTGACCTCGTGATCCACCCGCCTCGGCCTCCCAAAGTGCTGGGATTACAGGCTTGAGCCACCGCGCCCGGCCTGCAAGCTTTCTTTTATACTCCAGTCAGAACCTCTTCCTATAAGCAAAGCCCAAAAGATATATGGGCAATGTTTGTAGACAACGTCTTAAACTGGCCATTTGTTTACTGTGCCTAAACTCTAAATGGAAGTCACTACGTACTCCCCTGACATTTCTCACCAAGGGGAGGGAGGACAGCAAGGAGGAGGGGACCTCCCTAAACTGAAATACACCAACTTTACTCTGACGCAATTTATTCTTAAAGTGACTACAAGTGCACAAAAATCTTTCAGTTAGTCAAAGTAAAATAAATAGGCAGAAATACCAAAGTAGGTAATTTTGAAATATATGAATTCTTTCAATATATCTCTGTAATTCACATAGAATGTCTGCTTGTAAAAACATTATCTATACCATAATCAAATTTAGTCAGATTTAAAAACCTAGCAGGCACTTATTATCTGTAAGAGCTATTGAGAAGAATAAATACAAAAGGACTGAAATAAAAAATCAACAGCTGGAAGCAGCTTTGGAAAAAGAGACTGAGACAGGTTTCTAAAATATTACTGATGTTGAGGGAGGTCTATTTTCATGTGATAACTATTTTTGTTCAATATCACCAACTTTCAATTTACAGCAAAACTGATATGTTCCATTTCAGCTATCTACTTCACAAATACAAATCTATTTTAAATATCATGGTCACATTTATGTAAATATCTGGGAGAGTTCACCAAAATATCTCTGCCATTTGGAAGTCCTAACACTTTAATGAACATAATTATTTCGTACCCATCTTATTGTGCTGTATTTTTCGACAATGTGAAAACTAATGGCATAAAAATTAACTCCAGTAAGACAAATGATTAAATCAAACCTTGTTATTTAAATCTATGTTTGCCCAACCGCTTTCCCTTAAAGCCAATTCTCAATCAAATTCAAGAAAATATGGCAATATGTTTTAGAGCATGGAAAAAGTTTGAGCATGCTAACGAGCCAACTTGTAAAATATAATTACAAAAGATTACAAAAATGCTATCTTGAACATCTTACTGGTACAAATTGCATAAACTCTCTCATGCAACATATGTCATTCAGAGTAAAGAGGAAGGAACAGGATTTTAAACATCACATCCATTTAGGAAATTGGATATCAAATACTCCCATCTTCTGTCATGATGATGCTTTAGTTAATATATTTTATTCTATTTTCTAGAGCTATCAAAATGAACCACAAAGAATAAAAGTACACAATGAAAAACTAATTATTTTAACAGAGGTTAAGCTACGAAGGGCCTTGTGTAGCAAGCATCCTATGTTATTTCATTTAAACTGCTAACAACAGCAGGAAAAAGGTTTGTATTCTTACCAATGAATTTCTGAGGCATTGAGCTTTTTCGTTTTGCCACATTGCTTGCTAATCTGTCCAGAACGAGAGCTCTTTCACTTCCCATCTCTGCTTTGATGTGTCTTGCCTCCGCACTTGCTGGTTTGGAAAAATATAAAAAGAAGAGGGAAAAGAACACATTGGTACATGCGGAGAAAAGGAAATAAACTGGAAGGAGAAGTGTCCAAAGTTGGATGCACACTCTGCTGTTGTTACCTGTTATGACTGCTCAGATTCTTGCCTGGGGTACCTGCTGTGGTCAGTGAAGCCGACACCAGGGCACATTCAAATCTTGCAGTCTTATGCCGAGACGGGAAAGCTCGACCCATCCCCAACCAGTACATTCATTAGCAAGAGGAAGTATTAAATAAACAGCCTGGACGTGGTTGGTTGCAAAAAGACAGATAGATGGAGATCTTCTAACCCCTGATCAGCCTTCTTTCTGATTCTGAGTAACTGCGTGTGACACCTGCAGACTGAAATAATTCTTCTTAACAACTTTGAAAAAAAAGCATGGTGCCCCAGATTTACTGCTCTGTTTATGTTAACAGCACTTTTGAAAATAGATACACTCACACAGATAGCAAGACATCTACTCAGTGATTTGTGTATTGAAATTCTGAGTGGTTTCTTTCTTTTTCATTTTTTTCCAGCACGCTCCTCTCAGTTCCTATCTTTCATATTCTTTCTCTGTGCTCTGCATTATCTGTTTCATATGCTCTTCACATTTCAAAATAGTCTCAGTTATAATTTCCCTGAGCAACACTTCTGCCTTGAAATTAAAGAACAATTTGTATAACACATCTCTATTGAATTTCTAATAAAAATGTGAATAAAAACTGCCTATGAATATGGGCTAACTACCCATCCACAAATAGACTTGTGATTAGTGTAGGCCTGTGGTTCTCAGACCTGGCTGGACATGAGAATCACCTGAAGAGCATGTACGAAATACCTATGCCCAGGCCCCTCTTCAGATCAATTAAATCAGGATTTCTGGTAAGAGGCCTAGGCAAGAATATTTTCAAAGCTCCCCAGATGATTTTTAAATGCAGCCAGAATTGAGAACTACTAGAAGAGTATAAAAATAGTGCCAATATCTAATCAACTAAAATAGTAAACTGTAGTAAATATAATTTACCTCAATTTAGCAGGCAGTGCCCAACTTTATGTCTAAAGTTCAAAGAGATACCAGCTGCTCTAAATATAAGGCTTGACATTTTAACACATGATGCTAGCCTGAGCCAGGGATCAGCAAGCTTATTCTGTAAAGGGCCAGGCAGTAAATTAAAAAAAAATTGCCAGACACATGTAGTCCCTATCTTATATTCTTTGTTTTTTGTTTTGTTTTGTTTTTCTGTCCCACAGCCTTTTAAAAATGTAAAAACCCCTGTACACAAACAGGCCACTATCTGCATTTGCTCAGAGGACCACAGTTTGCCCACACCTGCCCTGGGCAAATACATTGTGATGCTGTAAACATTTTTCTCTGTTTTCTCATAAACACTTCAGGAGATCCAAACTAAAATGAATTATCCATACATTTCTATTATGTCTATGGAAGAATAAATTGAAACTAGTTTAAGGGATTAGAGTAAAAAGCAAGTAGTGGCTGGCATGGTGGCTCACCCCTGTAATCCCAGTGCTTTGGGACCGAGGCAGGAGGATTACTTGAGGCCAGGAGTTGAGACCAGCCTGGGCAACATAGCTAGATGCTACGTCTACAAAAAATAATTTAAAAAAATTATCTAGGCATGTTGGCATGTGCCTGTAGTCCTAGCTACTTGGGAGACTGAGGTGGGAGGATTCCTTGAGCCCAGAGGTTTGAGGTTACAGTGAACTATTAAAGGTAACTGCAAAAACTGCAATTACTTTTGCACCAATCTAACCGTGCCACCGCACTCCAGCCTGAGTGACAGAGTGATACTCTGTCTAAAAAACTAAAAATAAGCCCCAGAGTATTAAATATTTTTAATTTTATTAGTGGCATTAAAAAACTGTATGTTACAGTATGTTACTGTATGTCATTACACAATACATTATAAAGCTCAGTTTTTATTATTTAACTAATTTATTTACTTGTTTTTGAAACAGGGTCTCAACTGTCATCCAGGGGGGAGTGCAGTGGTGTGATGATGGCTCACTGCAGGCTCAACTTCCTGGGCTCAAGTGATCCTCCCACCTCGGCTTCTCAAGTATATTATTTATATATATAATATACAGTCCAGAGCCACCATGTCTGGCTAATTAAAAAAATTATTAGTCTCAATATATTGCTTAGTCTGGTATCCAACTCCTGGCCTCAGGCAATCCTCCCACTTCAGCCTCCCAAAGTGTTGGGTTTATAGGCATGAGCCACTGCACCCAGCCAAAGTTCAGCTTTTTTTTTTTTTTTTTAATCTGAAATAAAATGAAATCTGGCTCTGCCAGGTGTGGTGGCACCAGCCCATAGTCCCAGCTACTCAGGAGGCTGAGGTGAGGGGATGGCTTGAGGCCAGGAGTTCAAGTTCAGCCTGGGCAACACAGTGAGATCCCACCTCTTAAAAAGAAAAAGGAAAAGAAATCTGACTCCAAAAATGAGAAAGAGAAGAGGACGATAAATAATGTGATAATAATGACAATATTTACTGGACTTGGTGAGTTTCTTGTCAAAAATAATTCTAGGCTCTAAAGAAATAAATCATAGCCTTCAGTGAAGCTATTAACAACTATTTGTGTAAAGGAAAACAGTAAGGGTCAGAATAAGGGGACTGAGTGGCTTTTGGGCTAGTGTGAAAGTACTTGATAGACTCTGGCTGACCAACAGTTGTAAATAACGGACACTTCAACCACAAGACACTGCTACTGAGTGAAGCGGGTCAAATTCTGTCCAGTACAGGGATAGGTTTCAATGACCAAACAGGAAATTATTTATATATATTATTTCCTTTCACACAAACCACCACCAGATGTGGCACTACCCAAAGCCCCAAGAGCATAGAGATGAAAGACAAAGCTTGGAATTTGCAGTAAGTTCTTGGGGCTGTTAGAAGGAGACTTTTATCTTGGAATCATAGGAGAGGCAGCTAAGTTTGTGCTTTGACTAGGAACATTCATCCTAGTTCCAACAACTTTGAGAAGATTAAATCCAAGTAAGCCTCCCCTCAACCCTGTAGTTATTAACAAAAAGATTTATAGTGAAAAAAGAATGAAAAACAGTACTCAGGGAATGTTTATGTTTTATGCCCATTTTACCACTGTCCTTTTTAGTCTCTTGTGGTCCCTCCTCTCACTGCCAAATCATTATCCAGGAATTACCCCAAGCACGGTGCTGCCCATCTAGTTTTCCCATTTGTTTCTCAGCAGTTACTGTCTACATTTTACCAAAGTCAATGTCAGTTACAACAAGCAGCTTTCTGAGGACACGTAATCAACATCCTCTCCATTTGTGAGGATGCTGAAACGTGGACACATTGACCTAAATTACTGTAATTAGGGCAGGTCACTAAATGGCAACATTTTGAGATAACATCACCTTTTATTCCGTGTTACCCACCTAACTGGTCTTGAGAGTCATTTCCAGATAAACATTACTCTGTAAATCAGAGACCAAATACCTGGCATTTAACATAAAATTCTGCACTGTTCATGGATGGACATATTTTGAGGCATGGATGGAGACTTCTCCATTTCCACAACTCTGATTAGATTGAAAGAAATCCTCTGAAACTAATCTAGAGGACTCCTGTTCACTCACACCCTCTTTCAAGATCATTCACTCAAAATATTAACTACAAGATCTTAACCTTTACTGTACATGTGAACACTCTAGTGATTCACTTGATCTTCACTGAGTTAACCTTGTTTTCTAGTTGGTAAGTTAGGCAAAGGCTAATTTTCAACTGAAGATAGTACTCTTCTTTCCTAAACTGCTAGTCTTTGCCTCACACTTGTTGGACAGCTGACACACAATACCATGAAATGAACACCCTTTAAAACACAAAGAGCCAGATGCCATGGCTTGTGCCTGTAATCCAGCACTTTGGGAGGCTGAGGTGGGAGGATCACTTGAGCCCAGGGAGCTATGATCTTGCCACTGCCCTCGAGCGTGAGGAACAGAGTGAGCCCTGTCTGTAAACAACAACAACACACACATCACACATTCACAAAAAAATGCTTTGTAACTGGACAAGCTCTTTGGGATTACTGAGTGGCTTAGGCAGTGCACTGAAAAGAAAATAAAAAAAAGAGGACTATTGGTTTTTGGTCCTTTTCTCCAACTTTAGGACCCAACTGTCTATTTATACAAACAGTCTAGACTTGTTATCTTGCCACATCACGTCTCAGAAATGTAAGTGGAGAGAAACCAGTTTGGCAAGATAGTAAGGGAACAAGATAATGGGTTTAAATGATGAAATAGGAAATCCGTTCCTGGGTGGTGTTTGGCGGTTTAATGCTGCAAGGGGTGGGTGTGGGGAATATGTACTGGTGGCAAGGAACAATCTGCACATTCGGTTCATGAGTGAGAGTAGAATGAGTAGGACAGTCATTGTGGATCGATTTCCCTTCATATTGCTTGCTTGCTAAATAGTAGATATACTAATTTTCATTAAAAAAGTTATTTTAATGATGTGCTGAAAAAATAAATAATAAAATGTAGTACAATTACAGAATAGGTTACTACCTTTATTCCCTGTGTAAGCCTTAATATTTGGTTTTAGTTAACCGTTTCCATGATACAATTTCTATCTCAAAGTCACTGAAGGTTTAACTATGTAATTGTGCTGTGCTTTTGTTTTTGTTCAAAATCCTTCATTAGATCTTGAAGTGTTAAGTGGAGCTTAAATAAGAGCTATTGCTTCCTGTCTCTTCTATGGTGTGGTCAGTCAGTAGCTAATGGAGAGTGGAACAAAGTGGTGCTATTATGCAATAGGAATTGTCTAACAAGAGATTGCTATCAAAGATAGAGGCAGGTTCTAACAAAAAAGTTACATAACTGTTGCCTTTTTGAACCAGTAAAATGAATATACTACCTGTGAGATAATATTAATTTCTAAAAAGAATAGGTTAGAGCAGTAGCTCACACCTGTAATCCCAGCACTTTGGGAGGTCGAGGTGGCAGGGGGGTAGAATCACCTGAGGTCAGGAGTTCGAGACTAGCCTGGCCAACATAGTGAAAACCTGCCTCTACTAAAAATACAAAAATTAGAGGGGCATGGTGGTGGGTGCCTGTAATCCCAGCTATTCAGGAGGCTGAGGCAGGAGAATTGGTTAAACCCAGAATGCAGAGGTTGCAGTGAGCCAAGATGGCATCACTGTACTCCAGCCTGGGTGACAGAGAAAGACTCCATCTCAAAAAAAAAAGAATAGGTTGGGAAAACAAAGTTAAAAAATTTTAAACATTTTCTTCGGTCTGCTAAGTTGGTAAAAATGTAAGTTTATTCTGAAACCCTCATGCTTGTATGATCTTGAAGAGCTATTGAAGATGAAAGGCTTAGTATCCTAGATTCATAAATTATTCAATTACTTAAAAATATTATTATTGCTAGAACTCATTGTTATACAAAAAATATTTCCTGCTCCAAGTGTTCATAATTTGTGTGAAATGAGGCTAAATGAATCTCTACACCAGCTGTTAGTCTCTTTCTGAAATAAGAATCAAGCTAATGAGAAAATGAAGTCCATGGTCTTCTGTATTTTTTTTTTTTCTTTTCATATAGACTCCATTAAGACAGAATTGGAATACTTTGATGGTGTCACTTGTGATGTCTGGTGTAGAAACTTGGACTAAAGTGGCAATATCACTTGTGT